AACTTTTATTCAAAAATAAGTTGCTTTTAATGCCCTCCTCTCGTACAAAACTCTCTAGTGAATTTAAATCAGTTATAAAATTTATACAATCTAATTAAAAAGTTATAGCTAAATTGAAAAACTGCTTTTTTTTGTTAGTTTAAATATAATTTTTTATGTATTTTTGAAAATAAATCTTGTTTATGTTTTTTTTCTCTAGAATGGTTCGAACAGTGAGGAAGGAAATCTTATTCAAATAGCTAAGAAATGATAGATGCCTGCAATTCTGTTTTAAGAAAAGAAATGTCTATAAATCAGACATTCAAACATTTGAGGTGTGACAAGAGAGCTCTTTCAAAACGAGTGAAAGGTCAGCCACCAATTGATGCTTATCCAGGACGAAAAACATTTTTAGTTTCACAGCAAGAAAAAGAGCTATCAGAATGCCTTATCGTACTGGCTAATTGGGACTGGGGTTTCACTAGAGGTGAGGTAAAAAATCTAATTCAAGATTTTATTAAAGCAAACAATATTTATACACTTTTTATAGATTGTCATCTAAGAAAAGACTTGTTGCATGCTTTTTTTTCAGCGAAATTCTGAAACAACACTGAAAAAAACTAAACATTTTAGCAATACACAACGCTATGCCAAAAATCCTGAAATCATCAAATTATCGTTTAATTTAGTTGAAAAACCATTGAGAAATGCAGGAATTATTAACCTTCTTGGTCAAATATTTAACTTTGATGAAACAAGGTTCATCACTGACCTAAAGGAACAATTTTTATTAGCAAAACGAGGTGCTGCTAGAGTGTCGCAGAGAACTGGTGGCTAAGGCCGGGAGCAAATTACTGTAAATTCTCTATGCTCTGCTAGCTGACAGATGTTGACAACATATGCAATCTACGAAAGAAAAAATTTGTAAATGGACTGGGTTAAAGGTAGCCCTAATGTAGCTGTTCACACTACTAGCGATAAGGGCTGGATTTCAAAGAAATATTTTCTAGAATTACTACGCATCTTTTTTTAGAGTTCTTTTACTATGGAACAAATCATTGGTGGTTTTAAAGGAACTGGTATTTCCCCTCTAAACAAGGAGGCCATTGATACACTCGCATTCAAAATATTAAGATCCGCTAAGATCAAGTTTTCTTGTATTATATAAGAATAAATATCAATATTTTTCATGTTTTAACTATATGAAATATGAAATTCATCTATAAAGTCTTATAAATAGGTATTTTAAGATGTATAAATATTTAAACAAGTTTGTTACACTAATCTAATCTTGCTGAGACCCAATTATTACATACCCATTTAAAATAAAAAAAGTATGTTTTCGCTACATAAAATCAGATATATCATTTAACTTGTAAAGACAAGGCGGATTATAAACCAAATTTATATTGTTAATGTTCATATTGAATATTATATTTCAAAATTCAAATTACTGGACCGCTTCGGATTGCAAAAGTATTTGACTATATAAGTAAAACTTTAACTTTAAAAAGTGCTGAAATGCCCCGTCATTTGAAACCATTTTATTGAAAATAACTTACATAGTGTTGTAATAGCTCATTTGATAATACTTGATTTTATTAAATTATGAAATAAAAAAAGAGACTTTAAAATTAACATCTATTCCATGCTTATTAGTTACACAAAAAATATTATCAAATTTAAAAAAAAATATGCTTTTTATTCTTCAGCTTAGAAGCATACGGCAATTATGATAATTATACAAAAATATGTACATTTTATAAAAGCTAAATGTTTAAACTATAAAATGGTATATAATAATGTAAGTTTTGAAAATCTATTTTTTTTTTACTTTTGTCCACCACCTGGCCCACTGTGGAATTTTATGGTTATTTTAAAATAGGGATGTAAAAAACAAAACCTGGAATGACTTTTAGGTCATTCCGGTTCCTGCCGGAATTGTAATATTTCAAGCCGAAATGCCGGAATTTATTTTTTACTTTATTTAAAACAAGTTATGGAGAGATCCGAAGAAAAATGTAGCATTCAGGCCTTTTTATTGAATAAAACTCAATTAAAAACGAGTTTTATTTATTATATTAAAATTGAATTTTAATATATCTTCAGTAACATTTTGTTTTGAAATACGAAGATTGTTTTTTTTTTTGGAGAAAATTGTCTAAGTTCAATAAAACCATATCTAAATAATTCTTAAACAAATATTTTGTATTTAAGAGGAAACTCCCTCTAATTTTTAATTCAATTTTTAGAAAAAAAATATTTTTTTTATGTGAGAGATCCGAAGAAAAATGTAGCATTCAGGCCTTTTCGTTTTCAAAAAACGCCGTTTTATTTTGTGTACGTTTTGATTAATTTATTTAAAAAAAAAAATCACGAAGCTCGTTGTTTTATTTTGTTTGCAAATAGTCGGTAATTTAAAATCTACGAGTTTAAGATTTTAACTAATTACTTTGGACAAACAAGCAATAAAATTGTTTTAAACTGCAAATCTGTAGCTTTGCCTAATTTTGTTTGCAGTAATCATTTATGTAAAGATTTCTGAAAGTTTAGAAATATTGTAGTGCGAAAAGAGTTGCTATCGAGTTTGGATCAAGAAACAATCTAGAGACTATTGTCAGAGGCAGGTAATATTTTTAATAAAAAATATTACCTGCCTATACTTTTAAATAATTAAAAAGTATAGGATACCTAATGCAGTAAATATTTCATATATACGTATATATATATATATATATATATATATATATATATATATATATATATATATATATATATATATATATATATATATATATATATATATATATATATATATATATATATATATATATATATATATATATATATATATATAGTCAATATGTACAGAATAATTATATATATATATATATATATATATATATATATATATATATATATATATATATATATATATATATATATATATATATATATATATATATATATATATATATATATATATATATATATATATATATATATAATTATAGTCAATATGTACAGAAACCTTTTATTGTAGAAGATCTGCTCGGATTATTAGGTTTCGCTATGGTAAAAGTTTAAAACTTGTTGATAAATTTAAATGTGTTATAAGACAGTCAAAAAATATTTTTACTAGCTTATTGCCCCCACCTTTTGAGCATTGGTGTCAAAACTTTGGGGTATTTTAGTTCCTAGGCTCAAGTCACCACAATATTTTTTTCACCACAATAAAAAACTTGTTTCGAACAATAGCTCGTTTCGAACCTGGATCTACTGCTTATAAAGCTGTAAAGTGCTGTAACCACTGCGCCACGGCCGCATAATTAATTAAACCGAACAAACATATTATTCGAAAAAAAGGTTTTATTTATATATTTATTTATTTAATATTGTATAAATTAATTTTTATTCATATTATATTGATTTATTTTAATTTAACGGAATTTATTTTAATTTTAAATGGGCGTTATATTTGTTTTAAATAGATGCAAAACCCGGTAAGTAAGACTTACACACGTATTACGGATTTTCCATCAATTTAAAATTAAAATAAATTCTATTAAAATAAAATAAATTAATGTAATATTAATAAAAAATAAATTTATATAATATTAAATAAATAAATATATAAAAAAAACCCTTTTCCAAATAACATAGAATGTTGTGATTGCGCATGCGTTAAATGGATGAAATGGTTGTTTTAAATAGATGTCATGTGTGTTTTAAATGGATGCAAAACCTGGTAAAAGTGAGATAGAAAGCTTGGGTCAAATTTTATTAAATATTTTCGGATGTTCTATTCAAGTAAATTTTATTATTGAACTTACAACGATTAATGGGAAAATTGGGCTTGATGTTGATTTCCCCTAAAGTGAATGTTCTAGATCAAGCAAAGGTGGCAATACTTCAAGGCTTTTTCAGCATATAAACAAAAAACAGATATTCTGGGTATTGATAAAAATCTTATATTTAAATTTTACATTATCTTAGTAACACTATCTTTAGAATATGAAATAGACTACCTTAAATTCAAAGATTATGGTTTTGACACTGTTAGACTATATTGATACATGAACATGATATAAATTAAAAGTTTTTGCTTTACTTATTGAATAATCAGCTTTGCTCGCCGTTTAAACGACAATTCTCCATTTAAGTCTTTTAATTCTTGATTTTTTTTTTATCTGGTAATGATGTGCTAGTAAATCATTATCAACCAATGATACTAGAGTACCAATCGTATATTTGGAATCAGCATAATGCTGATATTGATTGTTTACACAATTAAAAACTTAAAAATGAAAACAAAAAAATAGTTTTTAAAAAACTGTTACATGTTATTATCAAATAAAGTTATTTAGTATTCCAGCTTAACAACCGAAATGACTTCTTAAAGAACCTCAAATACAAAATAAGAAAAATTTTTAATAATAAAATAAAGTAAAAAAATATTATCATTGATATAAAATAAAAAAAAAACAATATTTGGATGGAACTTATTTGTAAGCATTAATAAAACTATTTAAGTTATTTATGTCTAAATATTTGGATTTAGTTGTTGAATCAAACTCATTAATCATCATTAATAAAATTTTTACGTCATTGGGGAAAGGGGGTTTATGAGATTTCATTAATACAAAGAATTTATGCAGGAAAGAGTTAAATTAAGTTCCGGATGAGAAATCATATCAGGTTTATTATTAAATTGTTTGAAATTTTGGTATGCAAACAATATTGTGTTATAAAACGTCAGAGAAAAAACCATTAAAAAGATTTATTGAAAAACAATTTAAGTTTATTTTTCAAAATTATTTTTAATGTTTTACTAAAATATTCTTTGGAACTCATTTTGAAATTATTGTTTTTAAAAGATTTTCTTCTGAATTTATTTTGAATTCTACTTTTTTAACAAAAAAAAAAAAAAAAAAAAAAAACTTAAAATGAATAAAAAATTAATAATTTAAAGATTAGTTTCAATTTATATTCTTGAAAAAGTAAATTGTAAGCAAGTGTATTTAAAAAAAAGTGTATTTAAGGATTGTAAAACGAATTCTGTTTAGAAAATTTTTGTTTTGAATCTTCAATTTTTGTCTAACTACAAAACTTCAGTCAAAATAAAGTTTATAAAACTTTATAAAGAATAAATGACATTATACAACGATGGAACATCTTTGACTGATGCGTCAGCTTCGTTAAACCAGAAACATGACAAGAAAGAGGTTTGTTTAATTAATTGTGGCGTTGCATTTCATAGTTTTGATCCATTTTTTGTATTAAATTATTTTGTTAAATATAACTTTCTGGGAAGATATTGTTGACTTAATTATAATTTAAAGCATATTTTGTTATTTATTTATTATAATATATATTTTTAACTAATTTTTATTTTTATTTTTTTATTTTTTGTTTTACAACAATCATTATTGTATATTTCAAAAACAAATAACATTTACATGTCATTATCAGAGGCTGTCCAAACATCAGCAAAATAGGATGGAGGTCTGAAAATTTATTTTTTTAAAGATTGAGGAAGGGGGTGGGGAGGGAAAGGTTATCAAATGTTACCATAAATTTATAGACGGGTTCTATGAAAGTTTGATAAGTTGTTGACAAGAGAGAAAAGGGAGGTAAAAATTTGTTAAAAATATTTGACATAATTACTGAACAGCCCCTAAGAATACATTATACCCCTATATAAAGATTATTTTCTAAACCTTACGTAACACAAACCTACAAGTTAAATAGTTTTAAGTTTTTCAACTAATTAAAGAAAACTTAAGTTTTCAACTAATCAAAAAAAAATTAAAATTTAATTAAAGCATTTAAGTAATCAAATATTGTATAAAACAACTAGCTAGAGAAGATAAAACCATAACATCATTTTTTATTTAGAAACAGTTCTATGATGACGATCCCCCGATGACTTTCAAGGAGGAAGTTGAATCATATTTCAAGCTTATAGACGATAACGGTGATGGGATTATCACTCCTCTGGAAATGCACCATGCAATGAAGTTTCTTAGAAAGGATCGCACAATGAGTGATGCTCTTGAAATAACGCAAGAGATAGATAATGAAGGTTCTTAGTTACTACTTAGATAGATACTATTTCAATTTCAAAAATTCTCACAAGTTGCTGAAAACAAACTTTATTTTGTTTATTATAAAAATAAGGTACACTAGGGTTTATTTTTTGTATCAAGTCAAACTTGATAAACCAATATTTAATAAACGTCTGAAAAGAATATGTTTCGCTTTATCTCAAGGTTGGGTTAAAGTGAACCAACCTACCTTACTCGAAGGTTGGTAAAACAATAATGTTTTTTGTTATTTCTTTAAAAAAAGTTGTTTTTTTGTGTAAAATTTTACCTATTTACTTCACTTTTTTTAAAAGCTTTTATTTTCATTACTGTTTCATTTTTAAAAAAAAAATTTTTTAATGAGCAATCATCTTTTGTTAATATTGAATTTTGAGTGAGCGAGACTCTCAAACCAACAAAAGCTAATGTTGATGTGTATCAATATTACACAGTTTGAAAATTTTGGACCCTAATACCAAAAACAACTCCTATGAAAACCCTTTTGAGGGGTGTTAGTGCATATGATAGGGATCTTATTACAAGTAATTTTGAAATCAGGGATTACCGTCCGCAAGACTTATTTGACTATATTAGTTTAATATTAATGAAACGCTGTGACTTTTACTGAAAAATTTTTCTGACACAAGTTTACACAACTTTTCTAAATATAACAAGTATCAAAAGGTTAAGAAAGTGTTACTTGATGGTATTTGGTGTATTATAAAACACCAGTATGATTTTTTTAAATTCTTATCACCAAAACAATGTCAACAAAATTACGGCGATTGTTTTCCGGGAAAGGGCTGCATAAATATCATAGTTTTGAAGAAAAATTCGTAGAATGTGCATCAAAAATGCCCAATTTAGCAAAAACTCATGAGGATTGTTGAAAATCTGTGTACATTTTCTGCATGAAGAAAGGAGACCAAGTTCTGACAGAATTTATAAAGCAAAAGATTCAGCGCTTCATCAAGAATGATCTAAGCTTCAATGACTGCAGAGTTCCTATTGCTACATGTCAGACATGTTGTTTTAAACTAAAAAAGCTTGAAGATGGGGATCCTAAGACGTGTAAACCCAGATTGTACAGGTTTGAAGACATCCAAATAAAACCGGCAACTCGAAGTTCAAACACCTGTGATTGTTTGATCTGCCAAATTTGGAGACTCAAAGGTAAAGAAACTCACCAATTTGAGCAAAAAGACCAGCTTGCAACAACCACTCAGCCACCTAAAAGTTCAGAAAAACGTTGTACAAAATGATTGTTTGTTCTCTCACGAGGCCTTTCTCATTATTACACAATTGATTCACGCCATGAAAACTTGAAGCAACTGGCATTGTCAGATCCTACAGGAGCTGAACAAGTTGCATCTTCCATTATTGCATCCAAGGAAGCATCTCCTGGAGGAACAATTCGACTTAGTCAATCGAGTGGGATGCATCTTTGAATCAGAAAAGGTAAAATGTATAGTTACCACATTCTTCTTTAGAGAATGCTAATAGGTTTTGTTTTTTTTAGGTGATGTTGTTGCTCAAGAGCTTTTTCCTTCCAGACTTTCAACAGGGGATATGGTTCAAGTTCAACAGAACACAGGATTGTCTAACAACGGAATGAGGAAGTTTGGATTGTTCATCAATCATATCAGCCCAACAAGATTAGTTGAACCAAACTTTCAAAAAAAGTTTGCTGAGTCTGGACAAAAATTGCAGGACTTTTTTACTGTCAGCAGCTTGAAGATTTTGGATTCTGAAGAAAACAGGATTGTGGTTCATTGCAAAAGCATTAAGGACTTGAAAGACAAGATTGAAGAAGAAATTGGCTCCTTAAAGACTTCCTTTGCAAAGATAGGTATTGATGGAGGAGAGTCATTCTTAAAAGTGAGCATTGGAGTTATTGATGAGGAAGAAAACAACCTAGAGCCCCACAGTCCTGTCCAAAAATCTGCCAAACTCACGACACAAGTCTTAAAGTAAACTAGTGTGAAAAAGCAATTTCTTGTGGTTGTTGCTGATGACACTCCTGAAAATTATTGGAATGTGCAAAAGATTTTTCGACTCATCAAGCTTCAAGAACTAATCCCATCGGAAGCTGCAGTCATTTCTTGCGATATAAAACTTGCAAACATTATTTGTGGCATCCAGTCTCATAGCAGCAAACACCCTTGCTGTTAGTGTGATATTGAGTCTTCAAAGCTTCTTCTGTGTGTGAATCCCCGATCCTTTGGAGCTATAAGAGCTCAACATCAAAGGTTTGTGGGTAGTGGCGGAGGTGTAAGAAGATCCAAGGAGTTCCAAAATGCTGTCCCCAGTCCTTTAATCTTTGGTCCTGACCAAGCACTGATTTTGGTGTTCATCCCACCTATGGAGCTTCATCTTCTACTAGGGGTGGTCAACCATCTGTTCAAATGCTTAGTGCAAAAATGTCCAAAGGCCACAGAATGGCCAACTTCATTGCACATCAAGATTCAGCCTTTTCATGGAGGGCACTTCAATGGCAATGACTGCATGAAGCTTCTGAGGAAAATTGACAAATTGGCTGAAATGGCTGAAAATGAGAGCACTTCTGAGCCATCTCAATTCATTCAGACATTCAAAGACTTTCACGAAGTTGTCTCTGCATGCTTTGGAACAACTTTACATCCCAACTATGAGGAAAAAATCACCATCTTCAAAAACAGTTACATGAGTTTGGGAATCTCTGTTACTCCAAAGGTTCACACTGTTTTCCACCATGTGACACAGTTCATCAAGCTGAAAAAGAAAAGCCTTGGCTTATACAGTGAACAAGCCACTGAAGCACTGCATTCGGATTTTGGCAAGCATTGGGAGCGATACAAAAGATTGAACACACATCCAGACTACTCCAGTCAACTCCTGAAGTGTGTCATTGATTATAACAGCAAGAAAAGGTAGATTAGCTTGCTATGAGGCACTGACCATCAATGAACATGTTGCATTTTTGAGAATTTATTAGTTTATCTTTAGAATGTATTTATTTTGTAATAAATAAATGTTTTAAGATGTATTTTTATCATTTGTTACCTTTTTACTTCATAATATGGTAATTTAGGGCAGCCAAATATTTTTAGAGGAATTTTGCAATTTTTCAGGTTTCGTAATTTAAAAGCAAAAACTTCAATGTTGAATAAGTCTTGCGGACGGAAATCCCGGATTTCAAAATTACTTGTTATGAGATCCCTATGATAAGTACTAACACCGCTCAAAAGGGTTTTCATAGGAGTTGTTTTTGGTATTAGGGTCCAAAATTTTCAAACTGTGATTAGCTTTATTTGTTAAACAAAGTGTAAATATATAAAAGTATGATTTTTCAACAAATAGAATATGACAAATATTATGGTTAGAAACTTTTAATTTTCTATGTAATTGATTGGCTTTCTAAATAGATGAACTTTGGTTTAAAAGTAGAATAGAAAAACTTTTGGTTTGTTATATATATATATATATATATATATATATATATATATATATATATATATATATATATATATATATATATATATATATATATATATATATATATATATATATGTATATATATATATATATATATATATATATATATGTATATATATGTATATATATATATATATATATATATATATATATATATATATATATATATATATATATATATATATGTATATATATATATATATATATATATATATATATATATATATATATATATATATATATATATATATATATATATATATATATATATATATGTATATATATGTATATATTATATATATATATATATATATATATATATATATATATATATATATATATATATATATATATATGTATATATATATATATATATATATATATATATATATATATAATATATATATATATATATATATATATATATATATATATATATATATATGTGTTTATATATACTTTGCTGTTTAAGAATATTTATAATAACAACTTATATTGGAAAATATTATATATAATCTTTTCGCAAATTCATGAAAATGTTTTTCTATAAAAAATGTTTACACTCATTTTCTATAGAAAACTAAAATACATTTTCATGACTTGCGGATAAGATTAAAATACATTTTCATGACTTTGGGATAAGATTATTATTGTTAAACTTTTGTCCGCTCTATAGAAACATTTTTAAATATAAGTTGTTATTATAACTGTATACTTTACAAGATTAAAAAAACATTAAAAAACTTAAAGATTCTTTTAAGGTATAATGAATCTTTTGAATCTTATTGCAATATCATATAAAATAAATTGAAAATCTCAAAACTTTATTCAAATATCATATAAAATAAATCGAAAATCTCAAAACTTATTCAAATATCATATAAAATAAATCGCAAATCTCAAAACTTTATTCAAATATCATATAAATAAATCGAAAATCTCAAAACTTTATTCAAATATCATATAAAATAAATCGAAAATCTCAAAACTTTATTCAAGTATCATATAAAAATAAATCGAAAATCTCAAAACTTATTCAAATATCATATAAAATAAATTGCAAATCTCAAAACTTTATGCAAATATCATATAAAATAAATTGCAAATCTCAAAACTTTATTCAAACTCGTTTTAAAAAATGCCTTTTTACATCTAAGCAAAAGCATAAAAAAAAAACAAAAAAAATGAAAAATTTAAAAATATTTTTATTAAGCTAAAATAAATAATCATTTTAAACAAAGACTATTTTTAAATGTGATAATTATGTTGATAACTTTTAAAAATAGTTCACTTTCCTCCAGTTTCCCCTAGATATTATTTTGCTTTTTATGACAATATATCATTTTGGAAAAAAGATGTTAAGTTTTGCTTTATATTAGGACCGTCATGACTTTAATTACCATTAATATAATGATAAAAAAATTTATTTTTATAATAGCTAACCTTTATTTTTTTAGAGGTGATTGATAAGCGGATTATGTCTTTAATGTAATAAGGTAACTATTACATGAAAGACTTTAAGTGGACAGTTATTATTTTGTAAAAAATAATTGGAGTTAAATAAAATCAACGTGATGAATGTTTATTTTGAATATAAATATCAAATTGAACCGAGACTTTTATTTTTTATTCAAGGTGTTGGTGGAATAAAGCTTGAAAAGTTTGAATCAGTCATGCGTGATGTAATTAAAGGAAACACAACTGATGACGATTTGCGTGACGTATTTGACTTTTTAGATTATGATGGCGATGGTTTAGTATCAACTTTGGATCTTCAGTTAGTTTATCGTGAACTTGGGGAAAATATAACTCCAGAAGAAGCTTTGTTTGTTATGCGTAAATGTGATTCAAATGACGATGGACTTTTTGATTTGCCTGGTAAAATTTATATTTTCTAAAATAATTTAAGAGTCTCAAAAGTGATTTTTAAGTTTTAAGATGACTTAAGAAGATTAGATAAAAAAAACAACCTGGTAACTTAAAAGGTATGTTGTGCAAGGCTTCAAAAAAGTTTTAGATTTTGGTATACCATACATGGAACATAAAACATAAAACAATAACATAAAAACATTTTAAATTTTGAAACTAGTAACAAGTGATATAATTGTATATAAAAGCATAGTAAAATCGCAGGTACTTGAGCAGCACAATTTAATTGGTGAAAATTTTACTAAGGTATGTAAGGAAATGCCACTATAATTACTTATCGCGACTTCGAAAAGGTTTTTAAATTATCTATAATTTAGTTCTCATGCTTAAATATAATCATAGTTATATGGAATTAACTTAAAACATTTTAATTTTTACTTAAAACAGTTTTTATTCCCAGTGGGCACGAACGTAAAAAAGACGTCTTTTAAACATCTTATACACGTTTTGGACGTCTTTTGAACGTCTTTTGAACGTTTTGGACGTCTTTTGAACGTTCAAAAGACGTCTTTTTTTGGTCCAGAAATAATTATAGTTCTTTATATCTAAGCTATAATAAGATATATGTTTGCAGTATTTTCTCTAATGTAATTAGGAATATATTTGTAATACCTTCAATACAACTAACATAATTATGTAAGATTATTAAAGGTATTTAACGTGTTAAGCCGTTTACTGACTTAGAGGTTGTCAATGAATGTTTTCTTAACACTTAAATATATAATTTTTAAAACTTTCTATTACAAAAACATCCAGCTCTCATCTACTTATGCATAAGTAGAATCAGAGAACTACATGTTTTTTAAGGGGTAAAAAATAAAATAAAATGATAATGTGAGAAAAAAAATTAATTAACTCAAAAATAGCTATAAATATAGCTAGTCGCTAACTCATTTCTCAACAAGCACTTCTGTGACAATTGGCACATGTTGCCAAACCATGTTTATTTGCAATAACAAACGCTTTTCTCCACAAATATCTTGAAAATGTCTTTTTACATAACACATCCGTTTACATTTAGAAAAAAGTCCTGCCATTTATAGTTTTAAGAGTTTTCAATTTTAGATTATCTTGTTCTTGTATTATTTCAATGTTTGAAAACTGATGCTGAATGATTGGAAAAAAGAACTTTTTTTTTATTAAATGTTTATCAGGCCTACGGCCTATGAAGTTAAGTACCACTGTGTTAGAACAAGCTGAGTTAGAAAGCATTTAAATTATTTGTTTGATGTACTAATTAAATTTTATTCAAGTTTTTAGTTTTATAAACAAGTTTTACACACAAATATATTTTACAAAATTGCGTTTGCCACTCATTTAGTTCAAAGGTAAGGTAGTTCAAAGGTAAATCTCAACTGTTTTGCTTCGTTAGGTCAACAATACAGGCTGCTTGAGTCAAAATAAAAATTTGTGAGATTGTTGTGATGTTTATAATTAAAAAAAATACTTTTGTCTTATTTTAGAGTTTCTTATCTATTGTCAAACGTTCATAGAAAACTATCAAAAAGAAAGACTATTTGATATACTCATTAACAAAGATAGTGAAGAAGACGAAGCTCAGCCGTTTTATGGAGGCTTTGGGTAGCCTATAAAATGAAAAAATTGTGAAAATTGTAAAAAAACAAAAGTTAAAATGAAGCTCGTAAAAAATTTTCTCAATATTATTTTACGGTTTTATTCCAAATTAAAAATGCACTTTCATATTTATTGTAAATGCAAAAAAAGTATTAAAAACTGAGATAAACGATTTTAACTCGATGTAAATTAGTTTTAATAGTTCGATAAAACTGAGATAAATAATTTTAATTCAATGTAAGTTAGTATTAATAGTTCTATAAAAAACGAAATTTGAATTTATTTAGAAATAATTACAAAAGTTCTCATTGATTTAACTGCATTAAAAAACTTTGTTGCTGTCACTGTAAACACAAGAATCTTTTGAACCATCTAAGATATATACTATACTTTCTTCTCTTATATATTAACTATATTGTATTATTGTGGATGGATGATACATATAAAAAAGACTACTAATTACAGAGATGATATTTATGTCAAACTAAACTAATTTTAACTAAATTTTAATAATATAAATAAGCCTTTCCGTTTAATGTAGCATGACGGATCCAAGACATTTTAGTGTTTAAGATAGCTAACTTCCAGACATGGAGCAAACTCCAAACAATTATATGTTTATACTTATGTCAAACAAGAATGCTTTGCAAAAAATTGCGATGATTGGAGGAGAATGGGAGCGAAAGAGCCCTTTATCTTCATCCCCCTCTTCCCCCCCCCCCCCTCCACAAACGTGAAAGGCAACAAGTTGATATGATATTTTTTGCACTATTCTTATATTATATATCTTGAAAATGTCTTTTTACATAACACATTTATTTACATTTAGAAGAAACTCCTGCCATTAATAATTTTATGAGTTCACAATTTTAAGTTATCTTGTTCTTGTATTATTTTAAGGTTTGAAAACTTATGCTACCTGATTAGTCAAAATAACTAAAAATTTTATAAAATATAAAATTTAAATAAAATAATATAAATTTAAAGAGAAAAAAATATATCTAGGTAAAAATTTTTCAAAAAGCACAAAAAAAACAAAAATTAATCTGCACCGTACATCACCAAATTTTCTAAAATTTGGCACAAATGTTTAGAGACATATCTTAGGTAAGACTGTAAATTTTTTTTATAAAATTCTTATCTGTTTAGGATTTACAGCACCTTGAAGTTTGTTTGATTTTGACTGAAAAATGAGGGAGGAAAAGTACGAAAAATGTTTCTGTTTATTATTACCCTAGTATTGTATTACCTTAGAATATTACCTTGAAAAAATGTATTCTCAACTAGACTAATATTCATCAATAAATTTTATATTTCATAGTATTATTTCTCAGCGTTCAAAAATTATGATCATATAAAATTTCTAACCCCATTGAATTGAGGGAGTTTAAACTTTATATCGTCATAATTTTTGAACGCTGAAAGCTCATACTATAAAACTTATAATTTATCGATGAATATTAGTCTTGTAGAGAATAGTGCAAAAAACATTTTATCAATTTGTTGATTCTCATGTTTAGGGAGGAGGAGGGACAAAGTTAAAAGACTTTTTTGTTCCCAGCCTCCAATCATTTCAATTTTTTGCAAAAAGCATCCTTATTTGACATAAGTATAAACATGTAAATGTTTGGAGTTTACTTCATGTCTGGAAGTTAGCAATTGTATTTCAAAATAATAGCAACCAAATAAAAAATTCTATTTCTTTACCTTCAATTACTAAATTAAGCAATTTTTCTAAATAAAAAATACTCTTTAATTGGAATCAAGTTGTTAATATTAAATATTAGAAAATATTTGTTCATAATATGACTACCTTAAACCCAGCTGACACACATACTTTGGTGAAACGTTAGAACAATGTTTCGAGTTACGTTGGAACAACATCGGTCGCCAACGTTGTTTTTATATCATTTATAACAAAATCTAAATCCGATAAAAGTAAAATGCAACGTTGAGTCATCGTAAAATACAATGCTGTGCAAACTAAAAAGTACAACGTTAAATCAACGTAAAATTATTTTCGCCAACTTTAATTACTACATTGTGTCTACGTTGGGTTTTTATTGCTGGCGACGTCACGACATTGTATATATATATATATATATATATATATATATATATAATATATATATATATATATATATATTTATATGTATATATATATATATATATATATATATATATATATATATATATATATATATATATATATATATATATACATATATATATATATATATATGTATATATATATATATACACATATATATATATATATATATATATATATATATATATATAATAATAATAATAATAATAATAATAATAATAATAATAATAATAATAATAATAATAATAATAATAATGTACACTGTGACAACTGATGAAATCAATTGTGGAGCACAACAACAGAAGATGTTGTGCTATAACAGCTATAAATGTTTTATAATAGCATTGTTTACTTTTCAATGTATATAGATATTATTTAGTATTTAATAAATAATTTTTGCAGTAATCTGATTTATCAAGTTTATTTTTGAATTGGTCAATTGTCATTGATTCGATAATATATGGTGGTAAACCATTCCAAGCATTTACGACTCTACAGGAAAAGAAATTATATCTATAATTGCTCTTACGATATGCCTTTGTTAACTTTTGGTTATGACTACGAAAATTGTAAGGTTTTAATTGAACTTGAGATGTCGAGTTGTTTATCCAATTTATTTTCTCATAATCGTTTTGTATTTTATATTGAAAAATAAGATCTCCTCTTAAACGGCGTTCTTCTAGAGTTGTTAATTTCATTAACTGTAATCTTTTTTCATATGGCATTTTTTTAAAAGCTGGTACGAGTTTTGTTGCCCTTCTCTGTACTTTTTCTAACTTTAAGATGTCTTGCTTCAGATAAGGGCACCATGCTTGGATTGCAAACTCAAGATTCGGTCTTACAAAAGTTGTATATAATTTTTTTGTCATATTTGAGTCGAAATATTTAAAAGTTTGTTTAATAAGAGCAAGCATTTGATTTGATTTACCAACAGCTTTATCAATATGACTGGTCCATTTTAAATTAGATTGCATCATTCCTCCTAAATCACGTTCTACTTTTGATGCTGCTAATATATTATTCTGTTGAGTTTCTGCGTCGAACATTGAATAAGTTATACAAGGATTTTTAAAACCAATGTGCATAATTTTACACTTTTCTTAGTTAAATTTCATGTATATATATATATATATATATATATATATATATATATATATATATATATATATATATATATATATATATATATATATATATATATATATATAATATATATATATATATATATATATATATATATATATATATATATATATATATATATATATATATATATATATATATATATATATATATATATATATATATATATATATATATATATATATATGTTTGTTTTTCTGTGAACGTAATGTTGTTTACTTCATCCGAAAAGATAGTCATGTGACTTACGCTTTTATTATCATTGGTTTAACTTGGACAACTGTGTTTTTTACGCGGTAAACATCAAACAACAGTTGTTTTAAAGGTGCCCTTATTTTTTAAATGACCATAGAACGTTAAAAGTTTTTTTGTTATTTTTTTTGTTAAAGTCTGAGTTTTGTGGTTTATCCTCCTCCGGCCAATGCTTTACAGAGTAAACTTATTTTCTTTTTGACCAACCAACTAAAGACACTTGCAGCTGAAAACAGATTTACACAGGGCCCTAAAAGGCTGCTTTATTAGAGAGCCTAGATATCCGGTACGGTCCACTTAATGGTTTATTAGTTCTCTCTTGGCCGAAGCCCAGCAGCGCCAACTTAATGATTTATCTCCATTTAACTTCCAGAGTAGACGGCTCGTTTTGAGATTTCCGGACATAGAAGAAGACAACGAAATAGCGACAACGCCAAGTAACTCTATCGGCTGTCATGGTTTCGATCTTATGCTATTTCTGCTTTCTAACTACACCGTAACCAATTGATGGGTGGTCCGGAGCCGAAATAAGAACAAATACTACTCTTGATCTTAGCCATTAAACCGAGAAGTGATAACCTCATTAGAGTCACCTCATTACCCAAGCCTAGCATTCTCCTATCAAAGCACTCTGACGATGATGCAAGGCTGAGAAAAAAGATACTGGGAAAAATAGAAGATATTAAATTAAATATCTGAAGTGAGCGACTTAGAAAAATAGAACAGAGGAATGCAGACAGACCGATCATTTAAGAAACAAATAGCAAAGAAAACGTCCACTACAACTATAAAGTTTCAGTAATGTTTTTCAGAAATATTTTTTTCCTCGACAAAAAGGCCTCGGTAAAAGTAAAAAATGGCAAAAGGTATACAGCAACTTGAATTGCATACTTTCAATAATCCATTTCAAACACATATGTGTATGAATTGGATATGTGTTTGAGTTGAATTGAATTGGATTGAAGCAATGTTTGTTTTGCTTGTGTCTTGTTATTTTAATATTTAAGAAAGATTTTATTTAAAATATATAATTTCGCAACCGCAACGCTGGCTTCTATACATTTTACTAACATTGATTCATATGTATGTAAAACTGAAATTATTAATTTCTATACATTGTAATAACGTTGTAATATACATTGTATTAGCGTTGGTTCTGTTCATTGTTTTAACGTTGATAAATTAATGTATTAATTTTAATGTATAAAATTAACATTGCATTAAAGTGGTTCTATACGTTGTATTAAAGTTAGTTCATATCAATATAAAAGTATGTTTGTGAAAAATCGAAAAAATAAAGATTATTTATACATGTACCACCTTAAGTTTAGCTTTTTAAATGAGTAACTGTTACTCGAATAAGTAACTTATTTTTATATGTAAAAGTAATTTGCATTGTTACTTTTACTTACACATGTAACTTACTTTTAATTAGGGTTCTTAGCTTATACGCATATCCGCGAATATATGCCCATACCATTCAAAAGTTATGTTCATAATATGCAAATGAAGCGCATTGAAGTTCGACAGTTGAATGGTATGTGAAACTAGTTAAATATTGTCAAAAATAAAAGGAAATGGTTTTTAAATCAAACGCAGATGACTTTGTATTAAAAGAAATAATTTTTCATTAGATTTTCTGTGATAAACTTTATGATAAATGTTTCAAAAAAAATATTTTCATGATTTTCAAACGAATTTTTATAACACAAAACTTAACAACTTTATTTA